GTCCCTGCCCATGGCAGGAGGTTGGAAGGAGATGATCTTTAAGGTCTTTTCCAATCCAAACCATTCCATGGTTCTGTGATTCCACAAAGGCCATGCTCCCTGCACAGCTCTTGGTCTCTAGAGCTGCTCATCCCACCCAGACACGAGTCATGGTTCCTTATTCAGCTGCCATCCCCTAAATAACTCTCCTGCTTCTGAAAGAGTATCTGATTGCAGAGCAAATTAATTAGCAATAATGGGATAAACAGATAATGAGCTGAGCTAGCCGACCTAGACCTGATTGATTTTCCTGCCTTTTGAAAAAAGAGAGAGCTACTTTTTAAAAATTTATTATCATTTAATTTGTGTGCTTCATTTTAAGCTGAACTGTTTGTAAATTAAAACCATGGAGAAGCGAAGCTTTCTCCAAAAAAGAAAAACAAAACAGAAATACTCCTCTGTGCATGACATAAAAGAGCCAAGTGAAAGTCAGCGGGAAGCAGTGCAGTGGTGATTCCTGCCTTGAAGCCATCAGGAGCTCAACAGAGAGAGAGAGATTTGCCTCTGTCTGTGAGTCTGGGAAGGAAATCCTCTTCTTCCAACCCTTGAGAGAGCTTCCCCTCCTGCTGCTCAGTGCATTGTCAGCTGAGCAGCCACTGTGTTGCACACATATATCCTGGAAAAAGCACCTGGAGCTAAATCCCAATTTTCAGTTAGGCTGGGATTGCATTCCTCCCTTCTGAAATACAGAATCATGGAATAGTTTGGGTTGAAAGGAACCTTTAAAGGTCAACTTGTTCCACCCCCTTGCCATGATTTCACCTCAGCTGGCCAAATCCCCTCTGAGCAGTGAACACCAGCACAGAGATTATCTATGCAATATGGGTTTTTTTCCCCACACACCTGAGCTGCTCATTAAGATTTTAAATATTTAAATATCCCCTTATTTTAAATATTTTGACAACAGGCAAGACAGTCTGAGCAGGATTCATCACATCCTGAAAGAGCTGGCTACCCCTGGCCAGAACACACCAGAGATGCCCAAACCCAAGTGAAAATCCCCTGCCAAAATTCATTGCCATGCCATGGCTGTTTGCCCATGTGAATCTGGTCTCTGTCTACCTGTTCCTGATTTTAATGGCAAAGAACCCTCTCCTGTGTGTAATCACATATTGCATTTGATGTCTTTGGCAGTTATTTCAGCATGGAAAGAACACCAGGGCAGAACAGTGCAAGGCCAGTCCTGCAACAGAACTACACCCCACACACCCTTCCAGAAACTGGGCAAGCTCTACCCCAAGTCCATAAAACTCTCCTTCTTGCAGAGAGGCTGTTGGGTGTTCTCTGATGGTTACAAACTTCCTTAAGAGCCCAGACTTTGATATTGGTGCTGTTTGGTTCTCCTCTGTACACACTGCCAGATTCAACTGCTTTTCCCTCTGGATTTCCCCCTCACTGCATCTTCTGCAGCATTTCTTGTGCTGGAAAAAAATTAAGTAAACTTCTCCTCATCAGAGTTAGGCAATATTTAGTGACACCTATGCTGTAGAATCACAGAATCATCTGGGTTGGAAGAGACCTTTAAAATTATCAAGTACAACTGTCAAACCTCCTCAAATATGGGTAAATTCACAGACACTGAATCACACTCCAAAAGGGAATAGATTTACATGGATCATCTCCTTCCAACCCCCTGCCAAGGGCAGGGACACCTTCCCAGGTTGGTCCAAGCCCTGTCCATCCTGGCTTTGGACACTTCCAGGGATGGAAGAAATTTAATCTGAAAAGAAACCTGGATTTCATGAATGTTCAGCCCCCTGTGAGGAAGAGGTGGGTGTTTGAAGACAAAAAAAAGAGGGTTAAGAAGGACATTGTTGTTTATCAGTGGAAATCTACCTGCTTAACCGGAGCCAGTGATCAACCTCAGCCCCATCAAGTGCTCTTAACAAGTGACTAATCTGCCTGACACATCAAATTACAGCTGTGATTAATCCCCTCTGATCAATACAATTGATAATGGCTCCTAAACAAAGCTTTCTTTCCAGAATGTACCTAGGCACTGTGTTTATTTCCCCTCATTTGATTAGAAAGGATAACAAATCACTCCTTAAGCCTCAAGTGATTCTCTTTTTCCTGAAAAGCTGTGGGAAGTGCAGAAGTCAACACAAGCACCTGGCTATAAATCAAAGTTTAACACTGCAGATCACAGGGAGCCTCAATTGCTTTCCATTCTCCTATTCTGGGGGATGGAACTGGGTTAAAATCATGTTTTTTCCTCAGAGTTTTACTATGATTTCTCTTTCCAGCAACACTCAGATGAAACAGTCATCACCTTCATACAATCTCATATCATCACCTTCATGAGATTTGTCTCCATCAAACTCCCCCCTTGCACCCACCCATCAAAGTTTAAAGCTTGGTGTTACAGCTCAGGCACATTTCTTGAGTTATGGAGCCCCACTCCAGAAAAACACATTCCTTGACCTACTTGTGCTCTAATGCTGTGATCACTCTCAGGGGGAAATGTCATCGTCATATTTTCTGAAAAATCCCCTTGCCCAGGATTTTCTCCTGGGAAGCTGACAAGCCTCAGAGAAAAATGAAACCAATAATTATCTGATATCTCCTGTGTTTTGTTGCTTTGGAATGTGGTTTGGACATTGTTGCATTGGTTTCATGTGAATTGTTTTGACTCATTGGCCAAACAGGGTCAAGCTGTGTCAAGACTCTGGAGAGAGTCACCAGTTTCATTATTATGTTTTTAACCTTCTGTAAGTATCCTTTCTGTATTCTTTTAGTATAGCTTAGTTTAGTATTCTTTAATATAATACAGATAATAAAATAATAAATTAGCCTTCTGAGAACATGGAGTCATATTCATCATTCCTCACTTTGTCTGGGAACCCCAAGAATACAAGAGGGAAACACATCCTATGTAGGCACTTGGAAATTGTCTGTCCACAAGCACATAACAGAATTCTCCACACATTCATCCACATCACCCATTTAAGAGCCAACAATTCTGCTTTTCCTGATGCCTCCAGGGCAGTTGTGAGTGCCTGGATAATAAATCCAGGTATTGAGCTCCTAAATACCTGATGATGCTTCCGGGTAAATGGACACTAACTGCTTTCCACAAAGTAAAGGACCTTAAAATCATCTCCTTCCACCCCCTTTCCATGAGGAGGGACGTCTTCCACTATCCCAGGTTGTTCCAAGCCACATCCAACCTGGTCTTGGACACTTCCAGGGATGAAGCAGCCACAGCTTCTCTGGACACCTGTGCCAGGCCTCACCCATCTCTCAGGAAAGAATTTCTTCCCAATATCCCATCTAATGCTGCTCTCATTCAGTTGGAAGCCATTCCCCATTGTCGTGTCACTCCAGCTCCAGTACTGTCTCCATGGACAAAACCATTTTCCTGTGCTTAAATCTTCAATTTCTGAATCAGTCCAATTCATCAGTAGTGACTGGTGAAAATGCAGATTTATCCCAGTCCAATATTTCAGCATTCCATCAGGGAAAAAACCCTCAAAAGGATTTCTATATACTTGCTTTGGGCATTATTGACTTCAGAATTGGAAAAAATACTTCTAATTGTTTAGTTCTGTTGTTACAGGAGAAGAAAAAAAAATCCATTAAAAAAAAAACAAAAACAAAAAACCCCAAAAAAACAAACACCCAATAAAAAAAAAAAAAAAAAAAAAAACCCCAAAAAAAAAAAAAAAAAAAAAAAAAAAAAAAAAACAAAAAAAACCAAACCCCAAAGGAAAAAAACAACTGTTTTGGATTATACTTTCCAAAGAGAAAAATCATTTTGGAAAAGCAGAAAAAGTGTCATTTCAACTATTTATTCTCCTTTTTAATGTATTGTATTAATTTAATTTCTTTAAATATCCATGAAAACAAAATTAAGCATTTAGCTGGCTTTCAGATGAAGGTTTTTATCCACCCTGAGCTCTCCCTTTACTGGATTCCAGAAGAAGATCTCTTCAAAAGGCTCCATTTAAATGTACAAGGACACTTGAAACAGCTTCCAAATCAAAGACAACCATCCCTTAGCAGATAAAAGCAGGGGCCAAAAACCTTCCTGGCATCCAGAGAAGCTCCTCCTGGGATCAGCTTGTCCCAAGATTCTGCTCCATCAGAGCAGTTCTTCACTCTGTGGCCTGGCTGCAAACATTGCCAGTGGACAGTTTCCTCTTCCACTTTTATCTCTTTCAGGAGGAGGGATGAAAATCTCAGCCAGGATTTCAGATTCATCTTCCCAGCCCTTTTCCCAGAAAAATGATCCCTTTTTTTTTTGGATCCTAGCAGTCTCACCTGGGTTCCTACACACCTTTCACTGACAGACACGGGGCTGGTAACTTGAGAGAGGCACTTGGAGGGGGAGAGATCCAACTGGATGCCTTAACTTGGGGATCTGCTGCAGGACAGGGTGGGATGGGGCAGCACCAAAACCTTCCTCCTTTCCTGATCATTGAAGCAGGAAGAGGGTTAGGGAGACTGGAGAGCCTTCCAGGGGGATTTCTCATTGTGGTGAGTGCTCCATGAACAAGCAGAGGATCTCAGCTGCCAGTCCCAACTCCAGAAAACCTTCACAGCTTCTGCTCTACCATGAGGACAGGAGCAATTTGGGCATAGGGAAGGGAGGCCAGCTCAATCAAAAGAGATGGTCACAGTGACTTCCCTTAGGGTGGTCCAAGACTTAGGAGAACTTCAGGCTTTCAGCTCCCAAGGAAAAATTGGAAAAATTCCAGTTAAAGACAGTGGACAACTGTGGTTAAACTCACTGAAACACCTCAGCCAGGCATTCCCAGCCAGGAGGCTGCAAGGGAACCTGCAGAGCTGCTGGAACTCTTGGCTGGCTTTGGAAGCACCCATTTCACTCCCTCCTGAAGAGCAGCTGGAGGAATCCTTGCTCCAGCAGCAGAAGGGCTGGGAAACAGCCAGGACAAGGTAGCTGTGAGGCTGAGGGAGGTGGGATTGCTGGCCAGGGAGGGACAGAGGCGTTGCCATACCTGAGGTCTGGTTGTCCCAGGTCAGCTCTGCCAGGCACTGGCTGCGCTCCTCCTCGATCTCCTGCATGATGCTGCACTCTGGTCTCGTGCTGGACGCCTGCAGGGAGGGCACAGAAGGAAAAAGTGAGCAAAGCCCATGCTCAGGGAGGCATTCCTGGGGATTCATGGCCTCGTGGAGCAAGCTGGAGCTCTCCAGGACCGTTGCACAGATGTGCACCCAGCCTTATTCTATATTTGCTCAAGAGGAGGGAGAGCAACCCAGAGCTGCTGAAAAAAATCAGCATTTCCTTCCATTTCCTTAGAAAAAAAACCCCAGAGCCTATTTTTTTCTGATGATCAGTGTGATAATTCACTTGTGGGGAATTTTGGAAGAATTCAAGACAGGACCTCTAAATTGCTTTTGATGATGCAGTTTATTTTTCTTATCCTCTGCATAGGCATGAAGGGTGAGTTCAGCTCACATCTTTACTGCATGGTTCAGAAAGTCACAAGACCTCCAGTTACAAGACCTTTTAAGGAGTTATTGACCAATAAAACACTGCCAACAAGGATATTTATGCTTTTGACTCAATCCTTAAATATTTAGTCTTATGGACTCATGCTACAGTGTAAGCTTTCTTAGCCAATCATGTTATGACACACAAACCTACAGTATTGCATTCTAAACTCCTTGTTTACATCTGTAACTGCTTTTATTTTTTTCTATATCTTAAATTCTAAAACTCTAAACTTTCCTTTACTTAGCTTAACATGTCTCTGTTTTAAACTCAAAATCCACATTCTTGTTTCTAGCACCTCAGTTTGGAAGCCTTTTCCAAGGTCTCAGATCAAATCCCGGGTTTAATTCTAAGCTTTGGCTTACAGGCCCAAAGTTCTGAGAGTTCCTTGCATTTTGGATTCCAACAGACCAGGAGCAATTCTGCTGCTCTGTGCTCTGGAAACCCTGCCTGGCTAACCAGCACCACCAGCTATGTAGGGCAGGGCAGATTTAATATTCATGCCAGGAGCAGTGGGATCTGTGCTTCGTGGTTTATTCCCTGGCTCCTGGCTCTCACTCTAATTCAAAGCACAACAAACCACAAATCAAATAAGATCAGAATCTCTGATGCAGATTAGGAGATCAAGGAGCTAAAAAGCAGGAAATTCCCAGTGACAAGGCTTTTTCCCCTCAAGTGTTTTGTCCCCAGTCAGCCCTAATCAAGTTGTAGTTGTGTTTGCAATAAAACAGTGGCCATAAATGTTCAGGTAATTAATTGTGGGCTCCTCATAACGTGCAATTCATTAACTGCCTCAATCATAAAACGTGGAAATGGTGATTTTTACTCCAAAAAAAGAGAACTCATATCTCAGTGTCCCCTTGTCACCAACGCAATCTCATCTTGGAGGGGACACCTTGACCATTGCTATGTGCAGAAACTGAGGCTGCTCCCAACCCCAGCTCTTTTAAAGGGATTGGAAAGGGCATTCAACAGGGAGAAAACTTTCCAGAAATCCAGCTGCAAAGAGGTGGAGAGAAGGGAATGATGTCAAGAGAGCCAAGCCTTGGCTTGAGTTCATACTGTCACTGTTAAATGTAATGTGGGAAAAAACATCAGCGGGGTGAACTTCAGGAACAGATCATGAGGACATAGGAGAAGTGATTGATTCTGCATCCCCTCTTGAGGGTTTTGGGATAATCATATATTTTCATCAGAAATAGGCAGAGAAAATAAATTAAGAAAGCAAAAATAATTTCTTGTCTTGTTTCAAAATGCGTTGAGTTATTGCTCTGTTGATATATTTGCCAGTCAAGGTTTTAAGACAAAAAGAAGTCTAGCAATCCTTTGAAGGAACAATTGTTTGATGTAAATTTGGGTTGAGATTATAATTTAACACATTAAATTAGTCTCACCATTTCCTATTAACCTATCCTGCTCTCTTGCCTGTTTCATGCCATGCCTGGTTCAGATTTTAATTTCCTTTAGGTTGGGAGTGGGCCTTGATTAGTAATGTATAAACAAATAATTGTGGTTTTCTAGTCAAATTAAAAATAAATAAAAATACAAACACCAGAAGAAGGGGAATCATTTGGAGTCATCTTCATTCTCAAATATTTCTTTTTCCCAAAGGGAAACAGATCTTTGGAAATTTCATCTTGGCTCATCTGAAATACCATAGAGTTATTTTGTTTTGATTTACAGTTGTTCTTGCCATTTTATTTCAACCTTAAAAAAGCACAAGGGGAAGCGTGAGAGATTTGCAGAACACTTGCTGGAAAAATAAAGATTGAAATGTTTTCAAAATATTCTGACTTTTTCAAGGGGAAGTTTTAACTCTCTGGACTTAAACGTTTGCCAAATTCATCTCACATCTATAAATACCTCTGGTTTTCACTTTATAAATTAATTCATACTACTCTAACTTTGATCAGGGCTGGCAAAGCACTCTGGAGTTCTACAACGGATCTGAATTTTTTTTAGGCAGTAGATTTTACACCAAGCCCATTAGCAAGTACTTCACTGCCACTTCTTCCCTTCCCCAAAATCTCATGCCTGAGTTGGATAATTGCATATTCGCCTCAGTGGTCCAATATTTACTTCTGAGTAAGTGGTTTCATCACCTTTAAAAACCAATGAGGTTCTGTTTTGAAAAGTGGGCTTGTGATAGGCTCAGGTAAACTTGATTTTATGTAGAATCTTATTTTTTTTCCCATACAATCCAAAAGAAAATAGGCAAAACACTGAAAAAAGAGTGTCCAGTAGCTAAATACCAAAATACAGAAGATCTTGGATTTGTGGTGCTGGTGCTGACTTCTTGTGGGCTTTTAGGGAAGTTGGGTTCTCACAACAACCCCAAGAAAAACTGCAGGTCGAGGGCAGAGGGGCTGGAAAAGGCCCTGGGGGTGCTGGTGACAGCAGCTGAACATGAGCCCAGTGTGCCCAGGTGGGCAGGAAGGGCAGTGGCACTTGGATTGGATCAGGAATTGGGTGTCCAGGACCAGAGTGAGGATTGTCCCCTGTGCTGGGCACTGGTGAGGCCACACCTCCAACCCCGGGGTCAGTTTTGGGCTCCTCATGACAAGAAGGACATTGAGGGGCTGGAGCGAGTCCAGGGAAGGGAACGGAGCTGGGAAAGGTCTGGAGCACCAGGAGTGGCTGAGGGAGCTGGGAAAGGGGCTCAGCCTGGAGAAAAGGAGGTTCAAGGGGGACCCTGTGTCTCCTGCCAGGAGGGGACAGCCAGGTGTGGCTCTGCTCCCAAGTAACAAGTGACAGGACAAGGGGGAAGAACCTCAATTAGCACCAGGGGAGGTGTAGTTTGGATATTAGGGAAAATTTCCTCACTGAAAGAGCTAACCACAGGTTGCCCAGGGCAGTGGTTGAGTCACCATCCTTTGGAGATACCTAAAAGCCATGTAGATCTGGCCCTTGGGGACATGAGCTAGTGGTGGCCTTGGCAGTGCTGGGCTAACGAATCCTCTTGATGATCTTGGAGATCTTTCCCAACCCTAATGATTTTATGAAGAAAGAGTGGGATGTATCTCAGCTTCTCTGTCAGTGGGACACATCATCCTCAATTTCAGCTGAGTCAGAGCTCTATGTTTAGTCTGACCTGCTTTTTTTACCATTCCTCCAAGTCCACAGAGAGCAAACAAACACCAGCTCTGAAGGCTTTCATCCCACTCCACTGCCTGTGGTTGGATGGCTTCAAACTTAAATACCCAGCACTCAGCTGGAAAAGGTCAGTGATGTGTGAATTTAATGTCCACAGACCTTTCACTCAATCAAGGTCAACAAACAGATTCACACTGGAGGACTTGGAGTTTATGGCTCATTTTGCACATTAACTAAAGAAGTAAATAAATAACTCTATCAGACTCGTTGTTCCTCCTTCAACCTCCTCAGTGATAACAGCAATAACCCTCACGTGTCACAGCAGTCACTGATACAGGCTGACAAAGGCAGATGGGATAAAAATAACCCAAAAAGATCACAGTTTTGGGCATCATTAGGAAACAAAGTGTGGAGTTTTTTGCTGGGGGATCATCAGGGAACAAGATCAGCTGCCTTAATTCCCCCCCAAGTGACAAAATGCTCATGTGGTTGGAAAGAGCCCTGAAGAGCTGTCAGTCCTGCCTGGCAAAGGGGATATTCCCTGGAGGAGGGGCTAAATCATTATCTTTCTTTGGTCTATTCCTCCTGGAAAAGTTGAATTAGACTTTATAGACAGCTTTGTACAAACTCACTTTACTAATTCTCCATTTCTAGGCTGTTTTTTACTATGCTGTGTTGTTCTGTTTGGGTTTTTTCCTCTGGAACAGGCAGAGATTTTGGGCTTCAGCCTCTTTCACTGCAGTGGGCAACTGGCCACACAAACAAAGGGCTGGGGAGCACATGAATTCACTTTTTCCATCCAAAAAGTAAATATAAAGCAAAAAGCATGACAAGCTCTGGTCAGCTCATGTTAACGTCAGAGGGTGATCTGTAATCCAGTTTCTTGGGAATGTCCATTATGGGTGAAGCTGAAATGTGGTAATTACCCCCTCAAATCCCTCCTGGCATGCCCAAAACACTCCGTGAAGGCGTGGTGGGTTTGTCAGGGGTTTTCCCACTACGATCCCTGAGCAGAAGGATGAAGGGAATGTTTTTCTGGATGTGATTTCTTGCAGCCCTGATCTCTGCAGCAACCCTCACATAACAAGGAGTTGTAACCAAAGTCTTTGTTAATGAGAGTTTTCCTTCCCAACAGATCCCAGGAATTGTTAGAGGATTACTGTGCAGTCTGCTGCTGCAAATAAAGCCTTTGTGTACACTGCTTAATTAAATACAATTCCAAAGATTGCCAAGACTGGAAGAGCTGCAGAAATGTTTAGTCTCATCTGCAGGGCCAGAATATCCAGGGGACACGTGGAAGCTCCTCAGAGACAGGTGGGGGTCACAGAAGAAGGGCTGTGAGCCTCAATGTGCCCCTTTCTCCTGATCCCAGGTGTGGGAAATGGATTTGTAGGGAATTCTGCAAGCCTGACAGAAGGCTCACACAGTGTGTGCATCTGTGTGTAAATCTTGAGATGAGAAATGCTGACTTAGAAATGCCATGGAATGGACAGTGTTGAGAGAGAAA